CACGTGCGAGATTGAGCCTCATCTTTTGTGCTGTTAAGTTGGTAACAATAATACTTAGTAAATGTGTATCGATCGATGATTGGTGTGAAAATATCTAAGTAATTCTACTTGATTTGTGAGAGAACTCCTTTGGATTCAAGCACATACGGAATCGAACATCCCTACTGGCTGAACTTTAACCGATTATTTGGCGGTATCTCTCGAAGGCAGGACAACATAACTGGTGCGAAAGCCTTGCAAATGGTTTATCAAATTCATGATCCGTCTGACGAAGGCGCCCGCGAAAACGTTCTCAACTGGGAGAAGAAATTTACCGATAAAATGGCCTCTTGGTAGACACACTTCCCTGCTTCGAAGTCCACTACTCGAGTGAGACGAGCCTGGATGACACTGTCGCTGAGAGCACTGGATCCGATGTCAAATTGGTGTCAATCTTTTATACTCTCATGGTCTCCTTTGCTTGCATCATGCTAGGAAAGTTTTCAAATCCATTGACCGGCCATTCCCTGCTCGCTAACGCAGGAGTGTTCGCAGTGACTCTGGATATTTTAGCCGGACTCGGCCTCGGTATGTGGTTCCAAGTGCCATTCGTCAGTATCAAAGGAGTGCTTCCGTTCCTGATCCATGGAATCGGCCTTGACGGCATTTTCATTCTGGCAGATTATCTTGATCGACAGCCACATGACCTGGCAACGACTGAAAAGATCAAAGGAGAGATGAGGCATACTGGTGCAACTGTTACCATGACAACTATAGCAGATTTGGTGGCGTTTGCAGTGAGCACATCCGCTTCATTTCCAGCCATTAGGTAAGGAAGGTGAATTGATTGCTGATTTAGTCTACTTTTGCTGGTGGCAATTCGGAAAAAGGATTGTCATTTCAGGCCTTTTTACTAGCTACAAAGTTTTCGCAAAGGGTCTTCCATTTCAATATAAACTGGGAATGATATCAAAAAGAAGGGAAGAGCAGCCCAGTTAGAAAATAATTGCCACGGTGTGTCGAGTTTCGTCACTTTCCTGATGGGGTTTGCTTGGATTTCTTACAGCCAGTCCCCAGCTACATTTATTGTTAAATGCTTCGATTTCAACTATGTATCCCTTGATAATGATTAGATATGCTCTATTTTTCATTTAAAATGCAAGGCAAGCTTGGGCCTGGATGGTACGAAACACTTACTTACGTAGAGTGTTTCATTGACCATCGATGCTTAAATCATCTTATTGCAGATATTTCTGCATCTACGCTGCTCTGACGGTAACGTCATCCTTCCTAATGGTTAAAGGCTGATAGTTTCGAAAGAAACTGTCTGGGGCTGCGTCGGTGGGAGTAACGAAATAATTTAGATATATCAACAAAGTTGAAATGGTAAATTGGCCACCGTAATGATTACAAAAGCTGACGTTTCGAGCGTTAGCCCTTCGTCGGAGCGAATAGAGGACTTCCTAATGGTTGTCACCTTCTTTGTGGCCAAAATGACCTATGATGTAAGAAGAATTAAATCTGGTCGCAGAGATTGCCTCCCATGCTGCTTGGCACCGCGAACCAAAGATGGAGAGCCAGCCTTGGACGAGCCCATCACACAGACGTCAAGTCGAGTCACGAAGGCTTGGGGAAAATTCTTGATGCTTCCAGAAACGAAAATTGAGGCTACAATTATCTCGCTGGTGCTGATTGGAGCTGGGATTTACGGAGTCACCCATGTGGACGAGGCGTTTAACAGAAAAACCTAGCAGAGGATGATTCTTACTTGTGTTACGAGGATCGAATCTGTCACGCAATCCCAGACTTTTCTAGAATTATCTATAATCTGTAATATTCCAGAAACTTCTTTCATGTGACTCAGCAGTTTCCAAAAATAGTACAACTTGTAATACGCTATAAACAGTAATAGAACATTCTAGATAACTAAAGTAAATGTATAAAAGCTAGCTTGTGAGAAGTACAAAAGAGATTTGCCCGAGGGCTTACCCTCGTGGCTTGCTGACTGAACTTTTGGAAGCTATGATATGACGAGGCTATGACCTTTTGACCTTGCGATATCC